GTTTGCTATCACCCCCACCATTGCGCTGCAGCCCTGACGGGACGCACGCCTGTCTCCCTTCCAGGCTGCGCGCGAGGGAGTGGAGGGTCTGGCCCGGTCCTGCGCTCCTGAACGCGGTGACCTTGCCCAGTCTGACCCGAACCGTCCCGGAGGGCGTCCCAGATTTCGTTCCTACTTCCCACCGCCCCCACGCTCGCCTTCGCCCGGCTCCTCACCATCTCCGCCGCCGCCGCTGCCGTCGCCGCCTCGCTGTCTCCTGGCTTTACGGTCCGCGGAGCGGCTGAGAGACCAGCGCCCCGAGAGGAAGCGGAGGGGCGGGGCAGGGCTGGTAGCCCGGTGAGGGCGCGCCCTCCCTGCGGTCTAGCGGCGACGGAAACCAAATTAAATCGAAAGCGGTCTCGGATTGCTGCCGGGGTGCGTGGGTCGCCTCCTCCCTGGCCTCTGGCTCCCAACTCCGGTTCCTCCCTCAATTTCTCTGGTTAGTGGCTACGCCTGAGCAGTCTGATGCATGGTCTGCACACTGGCCACGCCTTGGGTTCCCAGTGTTTAAAATGCGCTCGGGAACCGGCTCTGGGGAGCCTCTGTGCGTACGAGAACTGGTGCATGAGCGTGAGCTGGGAAGGTGTCATTCATTCATTTAACAGGTACATGTAAGGAGCTCTGGTGTGTAGAAGTTAAGGCTTTAGGCTGCTTAACGGTAAAGGTCTGTGGCTCCAACCGACCAACCGTCCACGGAAGAAAGATGAGGGAATCTGCTTCCGGAAAGAGTTAAAAAAAAAAAAAAAAAACTTACTGCCTTCCAGTCGGATCCGACTCATAGCGACCCCTCCTTGGGTTTCCAAGGCAGTATCACTACGGAAGTAGGTTGCCCAGCCTTCCTTCCGAGGAGTGGCTGGTGAGTTTGAACTGCCAGTCTTCTGGTTAGCAGTCAGATGCCTTAGGCGCTATGCCTTAGAAAACTAATGGGGGTCGCTCTGAGTCGAAATCCACTCAAGGGCAGTGAGTTTTGTTTTGGGGTTTTATTTTTGTTTGTTTGTATGAGTGCTACTTCCAGGCACTGTGCTAGGCGCTGTAAACAAGCCAGGGTGGGGGTCTCTGCTACCTTGGTGAGTGTATAACAACACTTACCAAAAATGGGCCCCCTGGGGAAGGTGCAGTGTTGGAGGAGGTAACATATGATCAAGAACCCATGGTATTGAAGGAATAAATCCAAGCTGCACTGAATGCACCAGCAAAAATCAAAGCTGTGAAACTGATGAAATAGTAATTGAGATATTTCAACAAACAGATGCAATGCTAGGGGCCCTTACTCTTCATTGCCAAGATATTTGGAAGGCAGCCTACCTGGCCCATCAACTGGAAGAGATCCATATTTGTGTCCATTTTAAAGAAAGGTGATCCAACAGAACACAGAAATTATTGAACAATATCATTAAATCACTCACAAGTAAAATTTTGCTGAAGTTAATTAAAAAAAAAAAAAACTATTGCAGCAGTTTATTAATCCATCTAACATCAGCAGAAGTATATTGACAGGGAACTGCCAGACATTCAAGCTAGATTCAGAAGAGGACACAGAACGAGGGATGTCATTGCTGATGTCAGATGGATCTTGGCTGAAAGCAAAGAACACCAGAAAGGTGTTTACATGTGTTTTATTGACTATGCAAAGGTATTCAACTGTGTGGATCATAACAAATTAAGCATAACATTGCAAAAAATTCCAGAACACCTACTTGTGCTCATGTGGAATCTGTACATAGACCAAGAAGCAGTTGTTCAAACAGAACAAAGGGATACTGCATGGTTTAAAATCAGGAAAGGTGTGCATTGGTGTTGTATCCTTTCACCATACTTATTCAATCTGTATGCTGAGCAAATAATTCAAGAAGCTGGACTATATAAAGAAGAACGTGGTGTAAAACTTGGAGGAAGACTCATTAACAACCTGCAATACACAAATGACACAACTTTGCTTGCTGAAAGTGAAGAATACTGGAAGCATTTATTGATGAAAATTAATAACTATAGCTTTCAGTAAGGATTACACCTCAACATAAAGAAAATACAAATCCTCACAAGTGAACCAATAAACAACATCATGATAGATGGAGAAAACATTACAATTGGCAAGGATTTCATTTTACTTGGATCCACAATCAACACATATGAAAGCAGCAGTCAAGAAATCAAACATTGTATTGCATTGGGGAGATCTGCTGCAAAGACCTCTTTAATTTGCTCAAAAGTAAAAATGTCACTTTGAGGATTAAGGTGTACCTGACCAAAGCCATAAGGAGCTCTGGTGGCATAGTGCCTAATGTATTTGGCTGCTAACCAGAGGGTTGGCGGTTCAAACCCACCAGCCACTCCATGGAAGGAAGACTGGGCAATCTACTTCTGTAAAGATTTACTGCCTCAGAAACCAATGGCAGTGAGTTTGGTTTTTAGTTTGGACCAAAGCCATAGTGTTTTCAGTTGCTTCATATGCATTCAAAAGCTGGTCAATGAGTAAGGAAGACTGAAGAAGAATTGATGCCTTTGAATTATGCTGTTGATGAAGACTATTAAATATACCATGGACTGCCAGAAGAAGGAGCAAATCTGTCTTGGAAGAAGTACAGCCAGAATGCTCCTTGGAAGCAAGGATGGTAAGACTTCATATCAGGACATACAATCAGAAGGAGACAGTGCCTGGAGAAGTATATCATGCTTGGTAAGGTAGTTGTTGTTAGGTAGAGGGTCAGCGAAGAAGATCCTCAACAAAATAGACTGACACAGTGGCTCCAACAATGGGTTCAGACATAATAATGATTGTGAGGATGGCATGTGACTAGGCAGGGTTTCATTCTGTTGCACATAGGTGTGCTATGAGTTGGAACCAACTTGACAGCACCTAACAACAACATGGGGAAGGTAGGTGTCTGGGTGGCACAGAGGGTTTGAGCTTCTCTACTACCCTCAAGATTAACAGTTGGATCCCACCTAACAGCACTGCGGAAAAGGGTTGGGTATCGGCTTCCATAAAGACTACAGGCTAGAAAATGCTATGGAGCAGGTCTACACTTTCACACATGGAGTCGCCATGAGTCTGAAAGACTCCAGGACAGTGGATCCTTCTGAAGAAAGTATTAGCTCTAACTTTTTTTGGGTTGTCTTTCTTACCCCCAGGACAAATGCAGCCCTGCCCTGGTGTGATTTTGCTCTATGGAGTGAGGCTGGTGTATTTAGTGCCACTCCAAAGCCTTCCAGAATGGAATGCACTCATCCTCTCCATTCTCTGCTGCAGAGAAATTGGCAGCCACCTGTCCCCACTCCACCCCATAGCACACCCAGTATCTTGAATGACAGCCCCTCTTGAGGAAGGGGATTGAGGGCTTCCCCACTTGGGGCTGACTTTGTGAACACAAGCCCCACACCAAGAGGGTTTCACCCTCTCTGCCCTAAGACCCCCTGGGTCCCAAGGTGCAGATTGAAACTCAGTTCTTTGGACCTCGAATCCAGGAGTGCACTGAGGAGAGAGAGAAGATGGGCATGGATATGACAAAGACTGCCCCAGGGTCTCTTCTATTCTTTCGTCCTCTCTCTGGATCAGAGGACATCATTCCAGAACTTGATATACCAGTACTAGTCCCAAATCCTGCCTGCCAACCCTGCCCCTTACCTTCTCCCTCCCCAAACGGTTGTTTTCAACTCTGGAAAGCCCATGGTGTATGTGTGTGTGTGTGGGGGGGTGGAGTAGGGACACAGATAGCAAGACTCCTCCCCCAAAATCAAAGCAGACCAGGCACTGAAAAGAGTGACAATGACCATGGAAACTGGTGGGAAGGGGAGAGGCTGGAAGACACAGAGGCTCATTGTGCATGGACTGGAAGAAGGTCCGTAGGCCCTGTCCTGTGACACTGACTGTGCCCAACTATGAGACGTGGAGTAGAGATGCTTACCTCCTAAGACAATAGAGACCCAGAGACACTGCTAAGTCCCAGAAGGGCAGTGCAGGCAACAGACAAACAGAACTTGCAGAACCACAAGAGAAGGAAAATCAGTCCAGTCCCTCTAACCCCCAGTTCTAGACAGCAATAGAGCCAATAACAAGAAAGACAGGAGACCCTCCACCAGATTCCTGAATGCTGTGCTCAGGTGGGCTTCATGTTTGGCTAACACTTCCAGCAGAAGAGGAATAAAGGGTCATGGTAGCAGGGGGACACAAAGGAGTCTTACATGCCACACTAAAATGCTATGAAGGTTTTGCCGTATGCCAAGACTCCAGAAAATTCTTGCTCTTGAGACCTGTGACAATGAATGGGTTAGGACTAACAAAACTTAAAAACCAAACTCACTGCTATCGAGTCGTTTCTGACTCATAGTGACCCCCCATTGAGTTTCCAAGGCTATAAATCTTTACAGAAGTAGATCACCCTGTCTTCATTGTGTGGAGCGACAGGTGGGTTTGAACCACTGACCTTTCAGTTAGCAATCAAGTGCCTTATCCACCATGCCACCAGAGATCCTATGGACCAATAAGGAAAAAATAAATAAAGGGAGGCCCTATCTATATCCTTCAAACATAAGCTCTCCACCCTTCCAACAACCTGGGTCTCAAGTGAGAGAACCTCAGCGAGAGAGTATCCTCAGGAAGAGAAGAAACGGAAGGACCAAAGGCAAAAGAGAAAGGGAGAAAGTGCCTCATACACAGACATAGGAATACTGAAAGGTCTGTATTACCCACCGGCCATCAACAGTTTCCCAGCCATGTAATGGACCATCTAGGTATCTCCAATCCTGAGGACGCATCAAATGAAGCCATAGTCCAGCACTCTCCTTCCAGCTGACCGATGTGCTCCCGGGGGCAGGCATTGTGCAGAGGGTCCTCAAGGAAAGAGCCAGAGGACCAGACTGAGCAGCATTCTCTCTGGAGGAGGGCAGGAGACAGGGCCCCTCTTGGCATCGACTTGGGAGGGCTGCCCCAGAAGAGGAGAGCAGGGTGGGAAGGAGGATCCCTAAGTATGGATGACCCCATACTTTGTGGCAAGGAGCACAATGAAGATGATGATGAAGACAATCATGCCAATGAAGACAATCATCTTCACATTCTTCCACCAGAACTTGCAAGCCACTCTCTGGGTTGTTGTCTTGAAGTGCTCAGACTGTTGGGAATAAAGGAGAGTGAGTGACCATGTTTCCTGCCACTGGAGAGTGGAGGCCCACATGCCATACATCTAAATATTTAAGCTATAAGCTGACAGCTATAACTGACAAACTGTTAAATTAAAAAAAAAAAAAAAAGTTCTATCCTCCTACCTTGACTGGCATAACAACCTGGTAAGCCAGGTTCAAATTTAGAATTGTTGGACTCCAAGGACTTCTAAATGTGGTGGGGTCCCTGGATCCCAGCTTGCCTCTTTCTCTTCTTACCATTGGCATAGTCGTACATGTGGAGGGTACTTATATACACATACCCCACCCACAGGTACAACTCTGGCACTACAATGCATCTTTGGGAAGGCAGGCCCTGGGGGAGGGGCTCAGGCTCTAGGTAAGCACATCTCCATGGCTCCACCACTCCTTTACCTCATGGAGCAGTTAAAGTTGGTGGCACTGGTGTTGGTAATCAGGGAAACTCTGCCTCCACCCCCAACTTCAATTGCGAAAACTAAGCTTCCCTGGGCCATCCTCTCCCAGTTTGGTGACAGAAAGCAAAACTAAGTCCCAGGGACTCAAAGGATCTATATTCAAGAGTAACCTCCAGACTTGAAAGGCAGAGCCAGTCTCTTCTGGCTGAACATAGAACCTAAGCCTTCAGCTTTTGCTGAACTTGGAGACACTCCTTCCCTGAGTATCTGGCCTCAGCCGCTGGCTGGAGAGAGAGGAGAATGAGGCCTAAAGAGATATGCGGGAGATATTATTCTAGTCTTCAGCTGGCAGAGCACCCAGGGATCAAAGAATCTCACTGCCCTTCCAGCTCCTCTTTAAAGCTGACTCAGAAAGACTCCAACAGTTTTCCACCCCCTGCTTACTAACTCCTGGAGAAGGCCAACGGTCCTAGGAGATTTCTCCAGACTCAATACGTTTTCCTGGAGAGGTCAAGTCCAAATGACTGTCAAGGACAGCCTTCAAAGGGAAAATCAGTTTCACAAGAGGGAAACCTAAGAACACGTGGGCTGAACAAGCCATTCCTCTGCCTTAGAAAATGCCTCATGGGTCAACCCCGTTCCCCCTCCAAGAGCCACCCATTGGTCCCCATCCCCTGGGACCCAGTATCACTCAGTGTAGAAGAGCATACTGAGAGTGAAGACTCAGCTCCCGTCAACTCCCAAAACATGTAAAAAGGCAACAGAAATGACAAACTCTGTCCCTCCTGTTCTTTTTTTGCCCCACAAATAAATACTTCCCTTTCCCCAACACACTACCCTCCCTCCCCCAGCCCCAGTGAGTTCCCCATCTCACTGCGGCTTTCAGGTCCTCTGTCTTGTTGCGGAGATGGTCCAAGTTTTCTCCTCGGGCCAGGATCTGCTCCACAGTCTGGGCCATAATTTTCTCAATTCCCTCCACTTCACGCTGCAGGTTCTGCACCTGGTCATTTCCTCCACCTCCACTGGTCTCCTCCTGGGCAACACACGGTTAATGAGGCCAATGCTTGGAGGAACTGAAAGACTGTCTAGAGGCCAGAGGAGGATAAGGTGTACTTTAGCTTTTTGTAAGGCCTGAACTGTTTCCAATGAGAATATTTTTCTGTGTTACTTGTGTACTAAAAAAATAAATGTATTTTAGCCCCTGATGAGATCTAGAGAGAGCAAATTCATGTTTAGGTTCTCAGGGCTCCTGACAAGGAAAAGAAGCATACCATTCAGTCCTACCCCCCTTACCCCCCCCCATCCCCCAGGAGCACTGCTTCCTGCTTCCTCAGATAGGGGCATAGAAGACAGCAAAGTTGGCATCCCACGATGTCCCTTCCCCTCCAGTGCAGAACCCACCACTCTTCACAAGTTCCCAGAACCATCCCTGCCTTTCTTTGTTCTCACATTAAAAGTGTCTGCTCTGCGAATTTCAAAGTCTCATGGACTCTATACTTTCTGGAACTGTGGATGCTGAATGAACTCCTGAAACTATTACCCTGAGATAATCTTTACACTTTAAACCAAAAATATCCCCTGAAGGCATCTTAAAACTGAACAATAGTTAAGCCTAACTAGTATAAAAGACCCCCCTTGATCATTACAGACTTTTAAGAACTTTCTATGGAAATCAAATTGACATTCAGCAACTCAAATGATTAGATAGGAACAGTAGGGGGCAGTGAGTTTATGTTAATGAGGGAAAACAACTCAAAAAGAGGGTGAATGCATAGTGGCACGACTTGAATGTAATCAAGGTCACTGAATTGTAGAATTGTTGAATTGGTGTATGTTTGCTGTCCATTGTCTCCATGAGAAAAACAAAATTAATAAAATTTAGGGAAAAATGAAAGTGGTCTATCCAGCCAAACACAGTCACCTAGCTCAGCCCCTCCCTTTCTCCACTACCACAGCTGGAGCTCCTGGGCCTCCTAAGAAGCCTAAGACTAGTTCCATTGCTGTGACCCAGAGCATGGAGCAAACTGGGTCCAAGTCCCTCACGAGGTACCACAAGCCATTGTGCCACAAACTTCTGCTTTTCTCAGCACTTAGCACCTATGACCAGGCCCCAAGCTACTGCCTGTTTACGCAGATATTAAACTGAAACACCAGGCTCTTGTTGGAGGAAATGGAGGACAAGCCCTCCCTGATGCCTCCTCCATAGGTTTCACAACAAAGTTTTTGAACAGGGAGGGGAAAATGTTAAACTCCTCCTTGCCATTCCACTGAGCATTCTCAAACAGGGCAGGGGTGTGGGCCAAAACTAGATGCCCACAGAGAACCAATTTCTGGTTCTTTTATAAACACTTAGGTCTCAGTTAGGAGCTCTGGTAGCATAGTGCCTAAGGCACTTGACTGCTAACCAGAAGGCTGGCGGTTCAAACCCACCAGCCACTCCTCAGAAAGAAGGTTGGGCAATCTACTTCGTAGTGATACTGTCTCAGCAACTGAAGGAGGGGCCCCTATGAGTCAGGGCCAACCACACACAACAACAACAGGTCTCAGTTTAAGGAGGGGGGGTGGACAGACAAAACCTTTGGCTTTTTGTATAGGGATAAAGAGAAAGGTGAGGGGAAGACTGCCTGGCGCTGGATGGAATTTAAGAAGGAAATAAGGGAGGTGCTACCCCATAGTGAGCAGAGCATCACAATCCCTAGTCCAGCTGTAGGAAGAAGAGTTAGGGAGCAGCAGGCCTCTAATCCCAGAATTCTAACCCTCCCCACCTCCTCTCTCACCAGGCTGGCTCTGGTCTGCTAGGAGGTCAGGGAGGGAGAGAATAGGGAAGGAGTTTGCAACTAAGCTGTCTAAAGAAGAGAGGCTACAGACCACGCTGCCCAGCCCTCGGACATTGCCACCAACTTCCAGTACAATCTCCAGTCTCGAACTTCTGGCTCCTCATTGAGTCAGCCTCTTCCTCGCCCCCTGTTCACTCACCATGTCTCTGAGTGGCAGGCCTGTCAGCAGCCGAATTTAACTAGTCTGTTTCTTCTCTGTACAGCCTTCAGTATGCTTTTGCTACTCCAACTTTCAGCCTGCACTCACCCACCTAGCATCCATAGCTCCTCCAGCCACACCTAATACAGGTTCTCACAGATAAGCAGGTGCCCTCCAGCCCCTCCCTAGTCCTCTTATGCCAGGGTTTGGACTTAAAGCAACAGGGCTCCTTGGCGGCCAATGTCTTTTCACTTTTATAAAAAAAAAGTCTTATAAAAGTCAGAAAGGAGAAAACATGGATCTAGCAGCCTGCTGGGGTTTTCTGAAGTTAGACTTCTTGACCTAGAAAGGGAAGCTGTCTACTTTTTATGCTCTGAAAGTTGTTAGGTGCTCTCAAGTTGGTTCCAACTCACAGCAACCCCATTTTTAACAGAATGAAACACTGCCCTTGAAACCAAGTAAAGTCAAAACTGTTTCCCCCACCCTGGTTAAGGCAGATAATAAGAACAGATAGGACCCCGGATGAGATGGGAATAGGTAAGTAAACTTAATTACCCTCAACTATTTCTCCACCCTGGACCCTGGTTGGAGGTAGATGAGTAAACACATAGGACTCTGGGTTGGAGACAGATGAGTAAATATAATAAGCTCAATGCCTTAATAACTGAATGGAAAAATAAAACATTCTTTTCTGCTGTTTCCTTAGGCACAGGTGACAAATGCCTTAATGTGTCTTAGAGAACAACTTGAAAATTAACTCTGGCCAGCCGACATGCGCAGTGGGACAGAGAGGAACAAAAGTTACTGGGAATGAACACGCGCCCCTCTGCCTAAGCCTCTATCAGCTGTTGACAGGAAGCTGGTGTGACTCATCCCAAACCGCAGGTGCACTGACTCTAATTGTTACTGTCCCTTTAAACTGAGCCCCCCCAAGGAAATTTCAGCCAATCATCAACCATCTCACACCCAAATTCCTGAAATTTTTATGAATATGCATAACCCTGTCTCCTGAAACCTACAAAACTGTAATTCGATGGCGTTTTGGGGAGTAAGATCTGGGTATGGGGGTACCCCCTACTCCTTGCATTGTTGCTTTGCATAAATTGCAAAAAATTTATTATTGAAAGAATAAATAATTTTCTTTCCTCTTAATCACTCGGTGTGTAAACTGTTTTGGCCTGACTGCACACCAGGCAAGGACCCGCATTTGGTCCTATTTCACCCTGTCCTGTGCTATCCTCACAATGGTTACTATGTTTGAGCCCATCGTTGCAGCCACTGTGTCAATCCATCTCATTGAAGGTGTTCCTCTATTTCTCTGACCTTTTTCTTCTTTTTAATTGTTATTTTATGGGTGAAAGTTTACAGAGCAAGTTTATTTTCCATATAGCAGCTCATATACATTTTGTTTCATGACATTGACTGCAATTCCCCACAATTCCTTCTTTCCTATCCATCCTGCCCCTGAGCTACCTCCCTGTGCAAATACTGCCCTTCTGTTCTCCCGTGATTGATCGTTCTAAGGAATGTATCTACCTGATATAAATGTCCATCCTATATGCCTGTCTGTTGTTTGTCTGGAAGCCATGGGAATGAGTTCAATTCCAGAGCTGAAGGGTAACTAGGGGCTATAGCCTCAGAGGTCTCACCAGGTTCTATCACCTTGTCTTTTTTTTTTTTATGAATTTGAGTTTTGTTCCATATTGTTCTCCCACTCTATGCAGGATCTTCTGACCCTCTCTGTACTGAACACGTGTCCTTCTCCAGGGACTGGAACTTCCTAATAAAATGACCATAGTACATGAAATGAAGTCTTGCCATCCTTCCTTCTAAGGAACATTCTGCCTGTTCTTCTTCCAAGACAGATTTGTTTGTTCTGGCAGTATGTGTTATATTCAATATTCTTTGTCAACATCATAATTCAAAGACATTAATTCTTCTTCGTCTTCCTTGTTCATTGTCCTGTTTTTGTATGTATATGAGGTAATTCAAAATACAATAGCTTGGGTCAGATGCACCTTAGTCCTTAAAGTGACATCATTTCTCTTTAACTTTAGAGATCTCTGAATACAATACTCCTATTCCTAGAGACTGAAATGAATCATAAGTACTTGCCAAACCTAGTTCACTTGGAAACAGAATGTGCATACAGAAGTTCCTGCCTCAGAAACCCTTGTTCCCAGATCCATGGGTGGGCTGAAAGCACTAAATTCCCCAAAGTCTGGAATGCTGTGGTCCTGGGCTCTGATGTCAGGAGGCTCTGAGTTTAAGTCCCAGCTGTGTCAGTCAACTAGCTGCATGACCCTGTCTGAGCCTTTTCACCTCTGTTTTGCAGATGCTGATACTGGTTCATTGCTTGATCAGCTGCTAACTGAAAGTTGGAGGTTTCAACTGACTGAGCAGCTCCACAGCGGACAGACCTGGCGATCTCCTTCTGTAAAGATCACCGCCTAGAAAACCCTATGGGGCAGTTGTAGTCTGTCACATGGGGCTGTTACGAGTTGAAATCAACTGGATGGTACCTAGCAACACCACTGACTCCAGAGGGTGGAGATAAGGAGTACAGAGACAGCACATGCAAAGGGCCTAGCACAGGGCTTGTAAAGGGTCAGGAGGTATCAGGGAAGGGCCTGTAAGGGGTCAGGAGGTACCAGGGAAGGATGGCTCATCCAGCCTCCTTCTTCCAGAGTTCAGCAGTCCTGCATTTCCCTTCAGGGACCACCGAGGGGGTTGATAAACCCAGTCAGAAACTCAGAATCCTCTTCAGAAGATTGCCCTATGGACCAGAGAGCAGGCCCAGGCAAAGGATTTTTCATCAGTCTGGCTCCAGGCCAGGGAAAATCCACCCCTCCCAGATAGTTTTTATCAAGACAGAAGAACAATAACCAGGACTGTAGGAAGGAACAAACATTCCTGTCCCATCCTGGAAGAGATGAACACTTCCAAGGGAGAAATGTCGACCCCTCCAACAAATACTTCTTAAAAGGCCTTCATAATTTTTTTAAAAATTTTTATTGTAAGTTGGGTGAAAATTTATGGAGCAAATTCATTTTCCATACAGCACTCCATACACATTTTGTTTCATGACATTGACTGCAATTCCCCACAAAGTAATAGCTCACTTCCCACTTCCTCCCTGTACTTACCTCTTCCCTGTGTCCTTCCCTCCCATGCACTGACCGACCCCATCCCCCACCCCAAGCTGTCTCCCTGTGCTAACACTGTCCTTCTGTTCTCTCATGCTTGATCACTCCAAGGAACGTATCTACTTGATGTAAATGTTCACCCCATATGCCTGTCTATTGTTTGGCTGGAAGTCATAGGAGTGAGTTCAGTTCCAGACCTGAAGGACAACTAGGAACTAAAGGCTCAGGGGTTTCCCCAGGCTCTATCAGACCAGCAAACCTAGTCTTTTTTTTTTTTTTTATAAATTTGAATTTTATTCCACATTGTTCTTCCACTCTATCCAGGATCTCCTGCATCGATCCTCCTCTAAGTGGTTGACAGTAAGTAGCCAGGCATCATCTAGTTCTTCTGGTCCCATGATCATATAGGCTGAGGTTCCCATGGTCACTAGTCCTTTGGACTAATTGTTTCTATGCCTCCTTGCTTTTCTTCATATTGCCCAATTTATCGGCTGGACGAGGAGAGACCCATCGTTGCATCTAGATGGCCACTAGATGCAAGCTTTTTTTTTTTTTTCCTTTTTCCAGTTCTGTATTTATTAAAATCAATTTTGCTCCTGGATATTGATGACATTATTATCTATTGATATGGCCACCTTGCAAACTAACAAAAACATTTCTTACCGGCAAATAAAGGTATTGCCAATCCATTATGGCTATCTTTGGCAAAAATGTTGAGACAGCAAAACAGAGCATTAATGCCCAGTGAAAGTAGTGTTTTCAAATACAAGTGAGTTATCAATTTAAGAGAAATTGTACTGGGAGTCAGTCCTTTAACTCTGAACACTCTTCATGTCTCCTGCTGCCCTGGGACTTGCTCTGATTAGATATTTTGGGGGGCAAAGCATCTATCAGGGTAGGACAAAGCAAGGGGAAGTGAAGGAATGATATTATATTGACCCCTGGGAAAGAATAAAATATTTAATATAATACAAACTTGAGGTAGGAAAAATATGTGATATTGCCCAAAAGAGCTGTTGTCAAAAGAGAACAGCAAAAAAAAAAAAAAAAAAGGATTTTTATTTTTGATAATGTAGTAACAATAGACTGTGAAACATCTTAAGTTATATTAAAGCTAAATCATCTGAAAAAGTCAAGTTGTAGAAATCAAATGCAAGAAATTTCATTTCTCCAATAGAAATGGTTGGCAGTCCTATGTGAAATCATAGGCTATTTAAATGTTAGGCTTCAGTAGTAGAAGAATTACAGATAATATTCTTACTGAATTCAATTTTATCTCCCCAAACTAAGTTTTACATCTAGGAAGACTCCCTTCTAGCCATCTCCTCCCTACTCCCACTGCAGAGTAGGTTTCAAATTATCTTTCAGTTATATTCCAAGCATATACTAAGTGCATGACATGCCTAATATTTAGTCCTATGTATGTTATTATTAGTTGCCATCAAGTCAGTCTGACTAATGACAATCCTGTGTGTGCATAGTGGAGCTTCTCTGTAAGATTTTTCAAGGGTGTGACCTTTCGGAAGCAGATTGCCAGGTCTGTGTTCCAAGGCATCTCTTGGTGGGTTTGAACCACCAACCTTCTGGCCAGTAGTCAAATCCTGGTTTGCACCAACCAGGAATTCCAGTACCCTATATACAGCAATGATGCATATAATGTAATTGTCTATGTAACAATTGTCTGTGTAACAAGGTGAGTTGAAATTGACTTAACAGCAATGACATTTTTGGCTTATGAGTATATATGTGTATGTTGTTGTTAGGTGCTGTCAAGTCGGCTCTGACTCCTAGTGACCCTAGGTACAACAGAGAGAAACACTGGGTGGTCCTGCACCGTCCTTACAATGTACGCTATGCTTAAGCCCATCATCTCAGATGCTGTGTCAATCCATCTTATTAAGGGTTTTCCCCTTTTTCACTGACTGTCCACTTTACCAAACATGATATCCTTCTCCAGGGACTGGAGAACATGACCAAAGTACAACATAACAATATGACAACTCGACCAAAATACGTGGGATGAAGTCTGGTCATTCTCACTTGTAAGGAGCACTCTGGCTGTACTTCTTCCAAGACAGATTTGTTTGTTCTTTTGGAAGTCAGTGGTATTTCCAGTAATTTTTTGCCAACCGCGATCCAAATGCATCAATTCTTCTTCAGTCTTCCTCATTCATTGTCCAGCTTTCACATGCATATATGTACATGGTATATAATATACAAAGCAGGGAGCCTCCTTGGTGAACAGAATTAGCACTGAGCCATGGAGTAGACAGTAACAGGACTTTGTGGGGGTTGTTGTTGTGACAGGAAATCACAGTGAAGCCCTGAAAAGGCCTTAATAAATTTTTGACCCCTGGACTGCTAACCAGAACGCTGGTGATTCAAACTCATCCGTCACTCCGCAGATGGAAGATGGGGTGATCTACTTCCATAAAGATTTACCTCCTTGGAAACCCAGTGGGGGTCACTATGAGTCAGGATTGACTCAATAACAGTGGGTTTGATTTTGTTTGGTTTGGTAGCACTTTGAGAAACCTTGGTGGGACAGTGATTAAAGGGCTCAGCCACTAACCAACTTCTACCAAAAGGTAGAAGTTCAAACCCACCAGCTGCTCTGTAGGAGAAAGATATGGCAGTCAGCTTCCATAAATATTTGCATCTTTGGAAACACTATTGAGCAGTTTTACTCTGTCCATCAGGGTCTCTCTGAGTGGGCATCAACTCCATGGCAGTGTTGGGTTTTGGGTAGCACTTTGAGCTCCTGGGTGATACCAGCATTTGAGTGTTTGACTGGTAACTGAAAGGTTGGCAGTTTAAACTCACCCAGAGGCACCTTGAAAGACAGGCTTGGTGATCCGCTTCCAAAAAGCCACAGCCCTGAAAACCTTCTGGAGCACAATTCTACTCTGCATACAGTGTTGCCCTAAGTCAAAATCAACTCAGTGGCAAAAGGATTTTTTGGTGGTGTTTTTGTTGTTGTTGTTATGTGCTGTCGAGTCAGACCTGACTCATAGCGACCCCTCTTTGGGTTTCCAAGGCACTATCACAACTGAAGTAGATTGCCCCATCTTCCTTCTGAGGAGTGGCTGGTGGGTTTGAACCACCAGCCTTCTGGTTAGCAGTCAAGTGCCTTAACTGGATTTTCTGGTAGTGCTTTGAAACACTTTCCTTCTAATTTATAATATAATCTTAACCCCACTGAGATTATAAAATTATTATTCAAACCCGAATTTTTTGAACTATATTTTAGTGTTTTCAGTGACAGTTGACAAAGCAAATTAGGTTCCTATTTGATAATTTCTACACAAATTGTTCAGTGACATTAGTTACATTTCTCCCAATGTGTCAACATTCTCTTTAATTACATTCCATTGCCTGTATACTCTAGTTTCACTGTCCTCTTATCTTCTTATCTTTGCTGTAGAGTAAATGTTGACTTCTTGGTCTCATGTAAATAGTCTTTCAATGGAGCACCAAACTTATGAATAATATCCCTTATTTTTTGTATCAGTCTGTTAGTCCATGAAAAAATTGGCCTCAGAGGATAGTTTTGATTCAAAGTTCTTACTTGAATTTTAGTGGACAGGACAATCAGCCCTGTAAGCATAGTGTGTACCAGCTGATTTTATAGAGAATATGGCTGCCATACACCTGACTATCCTTAGAAAGGCTGCCAGCATGGCCACATGGAGATGAATTAGATCTTGGGATTATACACATACTGTTCCTTACAGCAGCCACTAGCTTCATGTACCTACACTTGAAATGTGGCTAGTCTGAATTGAGATGTGTTGTAAGTATTAAATACACACCAGATTTCAAAGACTTGGTACAAAAACAGAATGTAAATAAGTCTTGAACAATTTTACATATTGATGACCTATTGAAATAAGATTTTTGATATACCGAGTTAAATAAAAGATATTAATAAAATTAATTTCATCTGTTTCTTACCTTTTTACCTTTTTAATTTGGTTAATTAGAAGATTTTAAATTACAAATTGAAAATTAAAATGTGGGTCAAATTATATTTCTATTGGACAAGCTGCTCTACACCTTAATATTTATGTAATCTTAGACAACTAATGTAACATCTCTGTGCCTGGCACATAAAAATCCTCAGTAAATGTTGGCTATTGTGATTGCAGTTATTAAGAATACCAGTTTAAGAGTTCTGGTAAGATGATGGAATAGTAAGACAAACTACACAGATCCTCTTCAATAAAGAAAAGGAGAACTTAACACAGATACAGAAGATAATTCTGGAGCCCTGAGCTTTGAAAGGAAGGATACAGAAGTGTACTGAACTCCAACGAGTAGAAGAACCTGCATGAAAACACCAAAAAAGGAGACATACAGGGCTGCAGTCTGTCAGCGATCTTGATGGCATGGACAGCTTGGATATTGCCAAGTGATGTTAAGACCTAAGAATTAACCTAAAAATCAGCCCTGCTAGCTAGGGGCTGAATGGAGGACTACACTAGTGCTTGGTGAATAAAAGGGGACGCAGCAAGGAGGGAGACCAGCTGAGCTGTGTACTTTTGCCTGCCTAGAGGGTGCAACCATTTTGAAGGTTTACAAGCAGTTTGACCATTTGGATATTTAAAGTGACAGTGGTCTCTCAGATTCCAGGGACCTAACAATAGGCTCCTTGCCAGGGACTACAAGGATATTCTGGACACAAACTATGGGAAAGGTGCGATATTGCCCTTGTTACTCTTATACCTCACACCTTCTTGGTGAATGGAGGTGTGCCCATCCCTCACTCCCACCCACCTTCTGGGTGGGCAGGAATTCCATCTCAGTCTGTGTGCTCTGACGGAGCCTGGGTGCCTTTCCCTGCCCAGATTTTTTTCCTTTTTTTTTTTTTTTCAGTTTGTTTTAAAATTATTATTACTCTTTTTTTTCCTGTCCTTATTATTATTATTATTATTTATTCTTCCCTTCCCAGGTTAGAGTTTTCAGCTTTTTCTCTCTTCCCAGTTCCTGGTTCCCATTTTTTTTTTTTTTCTCTTTCTCATGGTTATCCCCATTCCTTATTTTTCCTTTTGCATTTTTTTCTTCATTATTTTCCTACTTGACCTATTTTCTCATACTGTCCACTCCCCAGATATTGTGGGGTTCCTTTTCTTTTTTTTTTTCTTCTGTTTTTGGTGATCGTTTCTCTGTGTTTATGCAGTGTGTTTTTTGTCTTTTTGCTTTATATATATTTTTTTATGGTTTTCGATTGCTATTTTTGTCTAACTGAGTGGGAGGCAGCAATCTTGCCCATACGATGCAACCACACTGCACCTCCTGCAGCTTTACTTAATGAATGAGAGCCACCACTTCCTTCTCCACCAACTGGCCAACAATAAATGACCACCAAGAAGAGCCTGACTCACTCTTAACTGCTCTTCACAAACAGTTAATACAGATCTAAATACAATAATGTCATGTCTCAGAGACAACAGACTATCACAGTCCACACAAAGAAGCAAGATAAAGTGTAAAAATAAGGGAGCAGGATACAGATCCAGAACACATCCCCAAGGAAGAAGCAGCATTGGAACTCCATGATAAGGAATTCAAAAGAATTGTACTTAAGTATCATCAAAGGATTAAGAGACAGTTTCGAGGAAAACAATGACAAAAGTAAGGAACACACAAACAAAACCCTAGAACAATTTTGGAAGACCATACAAGAACAT